CTCCCCCCCAAAGCCCCACCTGCTCCCAGGTTTTCCCTCGTGCCACATCACTCAGGCTGTGGAGCACGTAAAGAGGTCAAAATGCAGCATCGTGTTAAGTGTAGTAAACCAGAGGTACAGTTTTCCGCTCATAAAATTAACAACAAACTACATGCAAGTTACAAAATCCATCCCCCCCCCCCCCCCCCAGAAAAAAAACAAACAGCAGATGAAATCAAGTTGTTCATAGCACAGGCCGATAGAAAAGAAAGTAAAATCGAAATTCCTGCTTCTCACCTCCCTGCTACAGGCTGGGTGAGAGGAGGAAGAGACAAACGCTCTGTGTGGCCCGGACAGAGATAGATATTTGCTTTGGAGAACATCTCCCCCTCTCCCCACGTCCTTGAGCAAAGCAGGGAAACTAACTGTCACAAACCGAGGCCAGCTGAAGCTAAAAATGCAGATCTCTTCTCATTGGAGTCGGCATCACAGAGCTAACATGGTACCCATGAAAAGTGCATCGTTAGAAAATGAAGGTTGGGGTGACAATGGAAGGGGAAGCGAGGCAGAAGTGGCCCTTGGGGAGGGCTAATTGCCCCGGAAAGCACTGTGTGCAGCTGAGGAGGCCGCCCCGGCCGCCGCGTTCTGGAAGCTCCTGTTGGTGAGGATGCCTTGGGAAAACTCTTCCTGAGCCCTTTGGAAGCTGGCTCCTGTGCGCCGATACAGGGAATGCACCTGGGAAACAGAGCAAGAGAAAGAAACATCAGCCTGCAGGTGTATGGAATGCACACAGAGCCGTTCTGTCACTCACACTTCTGGTGTGTGAGCTTGAGGTGTGTGTTTGAAGAAGGTGAAGCTTGGGAGCTTGCTGGCCATCTCTGGATTGTTAATGGCATGCCTTGCCACAGCGTCTGCTCCTCCTGTCCCCTTCCCAGAGCAGCCACTTGTTGACCCTTGAGTCCAAGCCGTTCAGCACTGACACAGAAAGCACCACCAGCACCATTTTGGGAGTGCTCTGACTCCATCTTCAGGAAAACGCCGATCCCCAGCCCAAAAGATGAGAGGTGGCAACCCCACAAGTATATATCCCAGCCACAGGGATTCTGCAATTCCAAACCACTCACCTGCTTGAGGAGGAAGAGCGAGAGAACTGCACAGAGCGTGAAGAACCCTGCCACCACCATCATGATGATGGCCACAGCCATGTTCCCACGCAGCTCCGACAGCGCCGCAATCCAGCCACTGGAAGAGAGAGTGGGGTAAGCATGGTGTGTTACAGCTCTGTCCCCAGCAGCACCCCGCTTTCAGGCAGCAAGCAGGTGCTGTTAGAAATCACGACAGTCCAAACACCTCAAAATCTAGCTGGTATGGCTGAGAACTGGATGGCAGATCCGGAGCCCAGAGCTACGTGTCATAGTGACAGCTCTCCAAGAGATGGGAAGGGGAGAAAGAGGAGGGAATGAAGTGAAAGGCTGCAAAAAAAAGCTCTCCTGTGACAACTGCCAGCTCCTAAGACGACTCTGGGAAATCTCAGAGTTTGGCTTTGGGTCAAAACACCAAGATGCCTCACTCGGAACATCATCCTCTTGCAGTGCTACAGGAAAGAAGCTCTCCAGCTGAGCAAACGAACAGGCCATAGGCCACCAGGAGGTTAGAGACCCAGCAGGATGGTTTGGCTCACTCAGTGTGCTGTGCAACTCCTTGTGCATGAAAAGCAGAAATGCAACACCATGCACTGCAGCTAAAAATAAATCTGCTGTCTGGCTCGAGGAGACAGAGCTGAAAGTTCAACGCATGCTCTCCAACGCTGGACTAAAAATGGAGTGTGCCCCCTCCCAGTCCCCCATGAGTAAGGGGTGGGAGGGAGCACGAGGACAGCTCTGCCCATGAGCTGTTCTGCAGGCAGCGGGCAAAAATAGAGAGCACTTTCACTGCACTCATCTCCTGAAGGCTCTCCCTCAGGGGAAAACCACTGGCTGTTAACCTTTTCTCTGTTTCTCACAAGCACCGCAGGAACGCGAGAATCTGATCTGCAGCCAACACAGCAAGGTGAAAAGAAATCCATTGCTTTTGCTGTGGTGAGGGGAGGGACTATTTGGGGACCTGGACTACTGTGCCAACTAGAAAGGGTGGGAGATTCCTCACCCCAGTGCTACAGCCCCCAGAGAAGGGAGGAAGCCTTCCCTACCACCAGGGAAGGCTCTATTTAGAGACACGATCAGTGTAACAGAGGGATGGGAAACGCTTAGGAAAAGAATTACAGAGCAGGACTGAGAGATTCCACACACTTCTTTAAGGCTGTGGCAGCAGCAGAAGCGTGTGTGCCTTCACTGGGACTAAGAGAGGATGAGCAGAGGAGACAGACACACCAGCTGAGACCTGCCAACACTGCATGCCAGGCGAGAGACACAGGAGAAGGAACAGACAGCTGTCAGCAAGAGAGCAGCACCAGGCCCCATAGCTCCTGACACCAGGGCAGGGCTGCACCAGCTTGCTCAGCTGAGCTTACCTGTCTCCCCAGCCAGGGATGCCAACAGCCTGGATGACGTAGATTGCTATTTGGCAGAAGAAGACGAAAAAGAAGACGAAGAAGCTGAAGGAGCTGTCAGACCTGCAGGAGAGACAGCAGCAGGAGTGAAACTCAAAGACATAATTCCTGGACAGATTCCCTCTTTTGAGAAGAGGGAACATTTTCAGTGATGAACTTCCTGCTAAAGGAAGGTGGTTTCAGAAGGAACTTGTGCAGTGATAAGACTTCAAATACATCCACTGCATATTGCAACACCACCACTGCCCAGGGGGAGATGGGGTGAAGACAGTGCCCTTAACAGGCACAGCACGCTCAACAAATGACTGCACAAACAGTTTTCTTTATAAAAGGTAGGACCTTATGTTAGCTAAGCCTGGATTTCACAATAAAAAGGATCACTATAATCAAATTCCATCAGATATTTCTAATATATTTAGGCACAAGTGGGTTTGATCTGTTCAAGAATGCAAAGAGCTGGAAAAATCCTGCAGGCAATATCATATTGGAACTGATCAAGCCAAAGCTCCTCCCACTGCAAGCTCTATTCCCCAGCACAGTGGAAAACAGTACTTGCCTGAAAGCCTTGTAGATCGGTCGGTACCAGCAGAGAAAGGCACAAGGGGTGAATAAAACAAACCACAGGATCGAGAGACCAAAGTCTACTCCTTTTTCTGTGTGAACCGTGAACCATGCCAAGCAAGCGAGCAGATTTAGGAGCAGAGTAACTGAATGCACTGGTCAGGATGGAAGAGAGAAGAAGCATCAGTCAATTCCCAGGAAACTCAAATCTCCACAAGCATCTCTCGCTGGACACATGAAGCTCTGCAAAAGTTCCTTTTGGCCATCTGATTTCCTTTCCTTCACTGGAAGGAAAACAGGGCTCAACCTAAGCACCTCATCTGCCCATGCTGCTTACAAACCATTCTTAAATTCTTAAATCAGCATCACAACTGACAGACGCAGCTGAGAGTGTTTTGTACCTGATCCCCCAAGTGCACTACCCACCATCTTTCTGAGCCTCACACTGTAAAGTGTCTGTTCTACAACTACCAACAAATGAGCTATTCCCAAAGCAAAATCTCGACCTGCTGACCTTGACATGTCTTCACAGACAAGGAAGAGAGGCATTATTTTACCTGTGCAGACAACACCTGCAGCATTTAGCGCAGAGCAAAGTTCAGCACTTGATTCAGAACCTCCATAGGAAGAATTTTTATGGCAGTTCAGGTCATTACTCACACATCCACAAGTAATAAAGCATCTTGCATATCCGCTGGTAGTCAGCTGGGATGTCTGCAGAAAAATCCTGATAAAAGCACGGCTTGATTGGACACTTCCTGGGAAGGGGTGGCCAGTTGTTCTGTCTTGCTGTGGAAGGGACAAAAGAACAGTTCTTTGCTTGCTCTTTGGTCAGAAGAGCCATTGGCATGCCTTCTGTTTGTAAGCTGCACTCATATCTACTGACATCAACACCTTGGGGGAGGCTGGGTCTCAGTGGGTAACCGGGTTTGAGCAGGGATGCATTAACCCCAATGGCAGCAGCAAGGTAGAGCAACTTAGAGTTGAAAGCTTTCCTCTGTGGGAGGCAGAGTTTGCGTGATGGCCAAAAACCATCATGAGCATTCGGGACTATGAGTCCAGGCTCAATCATTCAGGGTTAGGGGAAATACTGTTTTGCTCTGATTAAGATAGCACTGAAACTGATAAAAAGCCAGAGCTGGACTCCAGTAACTCATCTCAGAGCTCATTTCCTGCCCAGCCCTTCAGTAGACAGTTACACTATAAGCCATGAAGGGGCACGTGCAGCCCCAGATGGCTGCCTCAGCCATGAAAAGCTAGAGACAAAGCGAGGCATTCCTTTGGACAGGCCAAATCCACTTCTACCAGCAGCCAAGCAGATAAACCAAGCAGCACGGGCATCCCCAGGCATCACGTAGCTGCAGACAAGGCAGGAAGCACTACTCACGATTAATGCTGGCTGCATTGTTCTGCAATTCCCTTTCCTTCTTCTCCAGCTCAGCTGCCTTCCTCTCTAGTTCTGCCTGCTGCTGAAGCAGCCCAGCTTGTGCTGCTGCAGCCACAGCCTAAAGAAGGCAGAATGAAAGTAAGTCCTTCAGCCCTTCCCCACCCAAGACAGTGGCAATGTCAACTGCCAGCACATCAGATGCCAAACTGAAAGAGAAACACAAATTCAGTAACAAAGGAGGACAGTTTGAAAACTGGGTGCCTGTGGAACATCCTGAAGCTGGCTTCCTGCCTTACGTGCTGGAGGACTAGATTAAAACTGATGCA